TTGTGTTGCATGTAGATTTAAGTGGTGGCTCCTAAATTCTGTGCTGGTGCTAAAATTTTCAGTATAGAGCAGCTGTGCAGCTGGTGAAAAAGTAAGTCTGGAGCCCTGTTAACTGTTGTGAGCAATTACTACCACAGCGTCTGTGTCCATGATGGATGGATGGATACATCAGCCACTACTGATTGGTTTGTGTGTGTACGTGTGTCTGAGCTCAGCTGTGAGATAGTCAAAGGGATTATTGGAGTTATAGTTCAGAGAGACTCAGAGGGTGGACGACAGGTGAGACTTGTTAATGAAGGCTTAATGCTAAACACACACACACACACACACACACACACACACACACACACACACATACACACACACTGTTGATATCCAGCTGGTGTCAGAGCTCACTGCAGATGGGACCTTTACAAACTGTGTGTGTGTGTGTGTGTGTGTGTGTGTGTGTGTTGTATAATTGGCCTGCTGCTGGCTGACAGCAGGGATGTGGTTTTGGTTTTCATGCTGAACTCAGAGGGGAGTGGACAGAAGAGCAGGGACACTTCTACAGGTGTATTCTGTGAAGGAGACACTGATTCAACTCTGTGGTCGCCTCTGAGAATGTAGATAGTGTTGTTGTTCATTTGGTAAAGCTCTAGTCTGAAAGTCAGAGATTTGAAATATGCAACTGCTTTAGAATTTTGAACCGCAAAAGAAATCAATTCAACAAACCCATGGTGAAATCTAGTATGAGGAGCTTAAGTGTGTAGTAAATAAGAATGGGTTATAATAAAATCTTCCATCACAGTATATGTTATTATAAATTTGTATAAAACAGTATGGTACATTTTCTGGTATGAGGGAGAACAGGCTCTGATTGGAGGGAGAGCTAACCACGCCCACTTAGGAGACAGGAAGAGTAATCGTTTTCTTAACATTGGATAAGCCTACGGTGGGGTATCTCCTTTATCCGATATCTCTGGTAGTGTCCTTCTGCTTCTTCTTCTTCTTGTGTAACCTTGTGTGTATTGGCAGTATATACAGCATTATCGCCACCTAGTGGATTGGAAGCGCATTACACCTATAATGGGCTTTTATTGGGAAAAATAGCTCAAATGTGACCCCCAGTGGTAAAATTAGGTATATAATNAAGCGCATTACACCTATAATGGGCTTTTATTGGGAAAAATAGCTCAAATGTGACCCCCAGTGGTAAAATTAGGTATATAATTTGATATATCGGTTAGGTTAGATATTTGGCTTTAAATCAAACTGTTTGGAAAATTTTCAAACCGGCACAAGCCTAGTGTGTGTTTTTGGTTGCTGCACTGAATGACAGATCTAACAATTAGAGCTGGGTTGAAAAAATCGATTTAATCGATTCGAATAGATTTTCCTTTAAATGGCACAATATCGATTCATTAATTAAAAAATTGATCTTTTACTATAACTGTTTATTTTCCTCTGTGGACGTGTTGTACAGCCGGTAGCAGACTGGAGCAGCAGTACTATCAACCCAGATACTCTCACGAGATCAGCATTTAGCTGTGGTCATGGTGAGAGATCTCGCAAGACAGCCGGACACTGAATGAAGACAGAGCAGCAAACAATGGTGGGAGCGCGTCTACAGTGCATTTTTCTCACTCGCATTTTCCCCTAAAAATATAACGCTAATAATGTACGCATGTTTATTAAATGCACATCAGTTTCACAGAAAAGATTAAGAAATACCACTAACCATCAGCACACTGCTAACGTTAACTGTTGCCTCAGTTTGTGACTCATACAGATCTGCTGGTAAAGTTAACTTAGCGTTAGCAAGCGTGATAGAAGATGGCAGAGAGGCGACGTTGTGGAAATAAACCAAAGCTTTATTAATTTTCTGTAGCAGTAAACACATGGGCCGATAACAAATGTGTTAACTAACTATGCTAAAGCTTTACAAGCTATTCAGGGCTGCCGACGATAACGTTAACATGACAAAGGCTAAATTTACGGCTAACAAGCTAACGTACTGAGGCTCCTCAGACACTCTCACTCACACACACACACACACACACACACACACACATACCGGACAGCCTCTCAGTCCTTCCTTAGCCGCTAACGTTAGCTCATGTACAACACAAGTACCACACAGAAACTTTTACAAAGGGTCATAATGTGCTTCTAGTGACTGTCAAATCGCCAGCGAAGTTGTTTATACTGCGGACATGGAGCTGTTAGTGCCTGCTGTCATGGGACAAAGATCCTCTGAAAAGAAAGACGGTTCACTCTGCTCTGCCGCCAGGAACAAACTGGGGGCAAAGATCCTCTCTGAGGAAGAGGGTTCACTTTGCTGCAGGGTTCACCTACATTGTTTCTCTTCTGATACAGTCAATGTGTGCATCACAACCCCTGTAGTGTATTGCGGAAAAAGCTTTATAAGACGGGTACAGGCAGCAAACTTGTGGATGTCCTTTGTTTACATTTTTTGTAGCCACTTTATTTAAATTGTCTGCTTTGTGATTAGATTTAATTTAAAATATTTATTTTGTATGTGTCAGGTAATGTTAAATAAAAGTACATGATGACTAATGTACTGCTTTGGGGTCAATTCTTAATGTAAACAGTATTTTTAATAGTAATGCACCAGGTCAGAGGGTTCCTTGTTAAATATACTTAGTTAGTTCTCAGAAAATATCTTAATATCCAAGCAAATTTTGTATCATAATTGAAATATACTTGACTGAATCAATATTAAACTGAATTAAATTGAATCGAATCGAATCGTGAATCGAACTGAGTCCTTGAAAATCGAATCAAATCGATCTGGAAAATCTGAATCGATACCCAGCCCTACTAACAATTCAAGGTTCCTCACCATATTGATGCTAAAATCTTACCAATCTGTAACGTTGCCATGACGCAGTTCTGCACATGGGCTTTTAACATAACCAGTGGTCTAACGAATCTAAGGATATTGATGCACAGGTGCCTTGACATTACAGGTACAGACAACTGACAGATTTATAGTCTCACTGTGTACGTCATCATATCGACAAGACAGCTTTTTTCACCTTGTTATCTAGTGATTCTGTGTTAATGTTGAGAGTATTTAGGCTGAAAGCCCTCTCCCAAAATTGGTTAGAAATTGTTACAGGCTCTTAACAAACCTCTTTTGTCCTACCCCCACAGTCTGGATGTGAAAGTGCTGTGGAGGGCCATCATTATCATTATTTTTGCTTTTCACAGTTGTTTGTTGGAGCAGTTGATAACAGCACAGTATGGTTTTGGTGATTTACAGGTGAAAGTTGTTACTTAAAACTAGACTAAATTTTGCTGAAAAGTGTGTTTTTTTTGTTATAGCTTTTGATTTAATAGCCTTACAGCTAGATCACACCACTGAAAGGGTTGGTTACCAAAACCAGTTCCTGTAAAAACAGTACTTTCTGGACTAAATTATAACACAGATTTGTGCAAGATTGTATGCGAAGCAAGTGTGTGGCTTAGAGTGAGAGGGAGTGTGATGGTGATGTGACAGTAAGGCTGCAGCAACCAGAGCAACTATAAAGTTAAACAAAGCACTGCATTGTGTGCACAGTTTAGGTTATGTATGAGTGAATAAATGCAACAACTCCTCAAGACCCAAGCCATGTCCCCCTGTCTTGCCTCTCACCTGCTTATTAAAGTGAAGAGGGTTAGCCCCAAAGTTAGTGAGCAAAGTCAGCCTCACATTAGAAACTGATCAGGCTCCCTATAGGTTAACCAGCTATTCTCAATGTAGTGCCAATTTGAGCTACTCCTAAACAGATAATGTCTGGTCGCTGAGTCTCTCCTGACTAAGGGAGACAATTTCAACTCAAATTTTATTTTGCTGTTACTATTAGTGTACCCTTTATTTAGTGTTAAATTATTTTTGTTAGATTGTGTTTTATTGATTATGTGAATTTGTTATGTGAATTTATTTGTTAATAGTGGTTCAATTTCAAGTTCAAATCTGCCTTTGCAAAAAAATTAAGCTTTTCTTGCACATTATTGACCATTGTTAAGTGCTTTATTTTGATATTAAACATTGGTTCAGATGTTTTTAAAAGTTTGTGTATTAAGTACTGTTCTTTTCTGCTTTTTTTTTTACTATTTTCTGCTTACTTTTTCTTCTTCTTCTAGCACTTGTAGTTCTATTTTATCCCTGCTGACCGCCAGAGGTGGTGCTTTAAGTAGGGCTGGGCGATATGACCAAAATCTCATATCCCGATATAGGTCATTTCATATCCTGATAACGATGCCTATCCCGATATAGCACATTTTAATATTTAAATGTGCCTCTGTGTGTGCTTTTACGTAGCATGCAGGTGTTCCAGATTCAGAGGTGTGACGGAGATCAGACTGATCAGAGCTTTAAACTCTGCCATGAGGGAGTACAAAAACGTTACTAGGACGAGGGGGGGACATTTCTCCTCGTTTGATAACATTACGATGAGTCGGGCAACTGACTCATTTTTAAGAAAACGAGAGAAAAAGAGAGAGAGAGAGCGAGCAGCTGTGGTCGAGCAAGCTAGAGAGTAAGTGAAGAGAGGGAGCGCTGGTAGTGAGAAAGCTGGTGAATCAGATCAATAAAACGTCCAAATGACAAAAAATATTGCCGTAAAAAGTGTAATTTGCGTCTCAATGATATAAACGATAGGGCTAAATATTAAACGATCATATCGCACAGCCCTAGCTTTAAGCACTGAATATTCCCCTTTGCACATGCACAGTTCGACTGTGTATACCAGCAATGTCACCTGTGACCCCTGGATGACCCGAAAGAGACTATATCCTCAGGTGACATCAGAGGATAATTACGTTTTCATCTTCTCGTGCACAGGTTGCTTTTGGAAGCATTGCAACTGCATTTCAAACTTATATCCCGTCGCTAGTAGTTCCGTGGCCATTGTCGGTCGGAGCAGCAGACATTCACCCTCCAGGAGCTGCGATGGCATTCTTTCCCTCTTGAAAGGAGTTTAACTACGTTTGATTCAGTGTGTGTATGTCTTATGTGGGGCCAAGTCTGCACGGCTGCTGCAGGTGTCACAGGATCTCCTGACCTGGGCAGCCCCCTGCTTGATCAGCCTACGGGCAAAATATCTACCGGGAGAGCAGAACCACCTTGCAGACTTCCTCTCCTGTCAAAAGCCCCCATCAGGGGAGTGGCGCCTCCACCCGGAGGTGGTGCACACCATCTGGAACCTCTTTGGCAGAGCAGAGGGGGACCTCTTCACCTGAGAGGCGTCAACCCACTGCCCTCGGTGGTTCTCCTTGGCAGAGATGACCAGCCCTCTAGGCCAGGATGCCCCGGTTCATCCTTGGCCAGAGGGTCTTCTATATGCCTTCCCACCGCTTCCTCTGATTCAGCCAGTACTTCAGAGAGTTCTTCAGGAGGGTCACAGGATTCAGCTGGTGGCCCCCTTCTGGCCGGGGAGGACATGGTTTCCTCTGCTGCACAGACTCTGTCGCGGCGTGCTGTGGCGCCTCCCCAACAGGAGAGATCTCCTGTCCCAGCTAGGGTGTCGGATCTGGCATCCCAATCCCCAACGCCTCCAACTGTGTGTGTGGCTGCTGGAGGGCCTTATTGCTGCTGAGCAGCTGTGTGGACCCCGTCAGGCATACCATAATGAATGCCAGAGCGCCATCCACTCGTTTGCAGTACAACAACAGATGGAAGCTATTTTCCAACTGGTGTATGGGTCGGAGTGAAGACCCAATGCATTGCTCTGTGGCTACAATCCTTGAATTCTTGCAGTCCCTTCTATACAATGGCCACTCTCCTTCTACTCTGAAAGTGTATGTAGCGGCCATATCATGTTGAGATGCTAAGGTCTACAACGGCACAGTGGGTAGCCACAGTCTGGTGTCCCTCTTCTTGAAGGGGGCTCGGAGGGTGCTTCCTCCAAGAGCCACGAGACCCCCAGCATGGGATCTTCCCCTAGTGCTGGATGCACTATGCAGGCCTCCCTTTGAACCCTTGGCACAGGCAGAGCTGAAGTGGGTGTCATATAAGGTTGCATTCCTCCCAGCCATTCCCTCTGCGAAGCGTGTCAGTGAGCTGCACGCTCTGTCTGTCAGTAACTCATGTCTGAGGTGGAACTCGAGATGGATCAGGGGTCACTCTGTGGCCGAACCCAGCGTTCTTCTCTAAGGTGCTGTCATGCTCGCACCTCAACCAGCCTATAAGGCTTGCACGGTTTGACCCTCCGTCAGGAGAGAGGGGTGACAAGTCATAACTGTTGTGCCCAGTATGGGCCCTAAGAGCATATAATGCAGCTACCACAGGCATTCAACAGTCGTAACAGCTCTTCCTCTGCTATGGTGGCCCTAGCAAGGGCTGCACTCTCTCCAAACAGCATCTGTCACACTGAATTGTGGATGTCATCCACAATGCATATGGGGTGAGTAACCGTCCCCTGCCATCCGGTGTGAGGTGCCACTCTACCAGGAGTGTCTCCACATCTTGGGTGGCCCTGAGAGGAGTATCCCTGGAGGACATTTGTGCTGCTGCCTCATGGGCATCACCAGACACTTTCTCCAGGTTCTACAGGGTGAATGTTGCCACTCCCCACCCACTGGGTGTGGTCCTGTTACCAGAATCCGCTTATTCTAGGGGTCTGTAATCTGGATTTCTCATGACTTTGCTGATGTAAGTCATTCAGTGCTTAAAGCACCGCCTCTGGCAGTCAGCAGAGATGAAATAGAACGAAGGTTACGAATGTAACTACAGTTCTATGAATCCTGAATGACCGCCAGAGCACTCTGTCACTCAGATTCTGTAGGAAATTATCCTCTGATGTCACTGGAAGATATAGTCTCTTTCGGGGCATCCAGGGGTCATGGGTGACATTGTTGGTATATATACTCGAACTGTGCATGCGCGAAGGGGAATATTCAGTGCTTAAAGCACCGCCTCTGGCGGTCATTTGGGATTCATAGAACCATAGTTACATTCGTAACATTCGTTCTACTACTTGACGTTACAGGTACACATTTAAGATACATTTTGTTTGTATCAGCATTGAAAGTGAAAAACTCAAAGCCAAAATCCAGATAATCAGATTTATGATTTCAGAATTCATAAGTGAAGTCAGGATGATTTTACTGATTTTTTTCTTTTCTTTCAGATTTCCACTTGTTACATTGCATAATGTTTTTTTTCCAAAATGAACTTCCATGTTCACAGGAAACCTGTCAACATAACAACTTCAGGTTTAGGCAACACAAATACTTGGTTAGGGTTGGGTTTAATAGGTACTTAGACAGTCATCTCTTGGGTGAAAGACCTGTATTTGTTTGAACCATCTATGACCCTTTCCTTCTCTCCCTCCTGACTCTGACTTTTTTTTCCTCACCTTTATACTATGTCATTGCCATGGATAGGTTTGCATTGGAGTTAGTCAAAACCCAAGTGCATCTTCTACAGACTCCAAAGGATGGCTTGTGCATCTGAATCAGACGCTGACAGCCGCTGACCAAGCTGCTGTATTTGACGCCCTGGGAATGAGAACCGAGCTACTCTGTGACAGATAGGGGTGTTCAGTTTTTTTGGTTGATATGTCACTCCTCTCTTCCCTCTTTCATTCCCTCATAGTTTCTGTTCCTTCCTGTTTCCTCTATTCAGTCAAGATGATCCTCTGCTGGCAGGCAGCAGCCGGCAGAGTTTAAACACACATGCAGTATTTGGATGCTGTCCAGAGTCTTAATGCAGTCTGCTTTTCAGACACTTGCCCATTGTGTCAACCACAGTCAGAATGTGTGTGTGTGTGTGTGTGCGTGCTCAGATAGTCTTGGCTGTTGTCCATCTCGCTGTCACCGACTCTCATCTTATCACTTAAACTCATGGATGGCTCTATATCCTTCTACCGCTCTACCTCTATTATAAAAATCACTCCTGGAGTTTCTCAGCCTGTGTGGGGTTGACTTACTGGAGGTTGCAGCAAATTTCTGACTGGCAGAGTGTCTGCTGAACAGGCCACTCTATTCCTGATAACCAAGCCCTCACACCGGGTCTCAATTTGGTCTAATCAGGTCTTGTAGGATCCTGTTAACTTTCCATTGACTCACAGTACATGTATTGTTGTTCTTTTTATGGCTTGCTAAGGCTCGGAGCATCATGTGGTATTCTTTCAGAATGTGAGTCGGATATAATTTTCTGTTAAGATCATGCTCAGTATTTATTGAATCTTATTGAATCTCACTATGAAAAGTAATGCCCCCAAATTTTTAGGTATCCCATGTATTTTGCAAGGCTGTGATCACTTGACCAATGCACTGAGTACTGGATTACTGGAGGAAAAAGCAGTCCCGAGCGGTCTTGTAAGGAGGCAGGTTGGACTCTCCCACGGAGACGCATGTTCAGAATCGTTTAAGCTTTTGGTAAACTTTTGAGTCATTTTAAGGTACATCCTCACCATGTTTCTTTTCCTAATACTAACTACAGTTAGCCTAGAAATCCAGACCCAAATCTAGAAAGATTTAGGGTCTGGCTATGAGTAATGCAAATGGTCCAACTCGAGGGGCGGCACCAAGCATTTGCATTTGAAAATATCACTGCACGCAATTGGATAACACTACGACCAATTAGAACAATACACGGGGTGACGTATCCAGAGCGCTACCCAGCGGAGCTCACTGGTAGATTAGACTCTTGCCGTATCCGGTCAGCAAAACAGAAAAAATGTCCTTCTTGCAAAGGAAAGATTCGAGCGCTGTCTTCTGTTCCTCTTTTAGAGAAAAAGCCTAAGTCTAGCTCGTTCATTGTAGTGGCCAAAGCCGGTTCAAACAACTGGTGTTCATCCGTAGCCATCTTGCAATGTTTAGTGACTGATTCCGGACTTCGTCGTCGCAGCACTGTCGTCATCTGTTTAGCTCGCCTCTGGCCCGCCTATATCAGATACACCGATGTGATTGGTGCAGCTCGGCTCAGCTGATTGCCAGAGTGACTCACTGAGCAAATTCAAATTATGCCCTCGCGAGAACTCTGGATTTCCAGGGTAAACCACAGTAACTTTACACATCTAAATCTAACCTCCATAACTGTACGTTAATTACGTAACTGTACGATACGTCATTTCTGGGGTACTCATTTGCAGGATATCATACAAACTGTTGTGTCTGCATTGTCGTAGGATATGATACAAACCGTTTTATGAGGATACGTTGCTCTTTTTCTCAAGATAATCCATAGACTTTGTTGTGAGCAGTTTCATGTAGGAACTATTTTTTTTCTACCTAGCTATACCTGCCAACCCGATCACCCCATAGATGAAAACATGCATCTAGTGCTAGCTCACCTGGCTCCACTGATCTAGCTTACATTAAAACCCAGCAGAGGACAACGCTATTAGTTCATGCTGTCACAAGCTTGAGCCTCTCCTCCATGAGTAGATGCACACTTCCCTCTGTGTGGTGATATGGTTGGCAGGTGTAGTTTGGTAGAAGGTAGGGATGTGTGGGTCAGGGTTTTTAAAACATGCACCAACCTGGCCCATTATCAGAACCAATCCATCCGCCTGACCCGTAAACATGTGCGTTAATCAATGACCCAAACACAATCCACAAACCAGAGCTGAATTTCTGGTAATGATCATCACTTATTACAGCGTAGGCCCACTCACCCATTTTAAATTGGTTACAACTTGTATGATCTCGAGAGTGGTTGCTTTACATGACGTCACAGAAGTGTGTATTTAATGGACTCAGTGAGGAGAGAGGGCAGAGGCACTTGCTTGGACACGGTGTTAGGCCTACATATTTTCAGAGGGAAATATTTTTACTGAACATTACAACTGGGGAGATTGAAATAGGCCTTTATCAAACAGGTTTTTCTGATCAAAAGCTGAATTTCGGAAAGCCTGAGCCAAGCAGCAGCGCTGATGATAAAGCTGCTTGTTGTGTCAGAGAGACAGCAGAAGTAGTAGACAGCTTTATTTCATGGATCTTTAATTTCCTATTTATTTCTTAGGAAGTTTCCTGTAAAGAATAATGTAGTAATGCATTTTAAATACAACATAAATAACAGGAAAAATAGGATTTGCCTTAAAAGCTAAATTTAGACCCAAATACATATTGCTTTGTGATTCATGTATTATTGGAAGTGTCCTTCATATGTTGAATTGCATGCTCATCTGCAGACATATGTCACATTTCAGATAGCACTGCTGTGCTTTGACTAAAAGACCTTCTGGGTTAAATTAATTATTTAGAAGTTTACTAATTGAACTATGTGTTTTCACCCACAATCGATACAAAAATACATTGTCCTCTTCAGGGAATTCACCTAGACATTATCAGGACGTTATTAATAAAATAATGGACCAGTAAAATAAAACCTTTGCATTTATAAATATAAAAGTTTGGACAAGCTCCACATTAAAGAGGAAATACGAAGAAACAATAAGAAGGTGGCAGTTAAGAGAGTGAAGAGACAGAGGGAGAGCAGACAGAGAGTGATAGCATCAAACTGCAGGACAACAAGGACAAGGACACACTGATGAACTGACTGACTGTGCGTGTGTGTGTGTGTGTGTGTGTGTGTGTGTGTGTGTGAGTGAAACTGGTGGGAGTGAGTACAGATAGAGCTGTCAAGATGGTGATTTACCGATAGAGAGATAGAAGGAGAGGACTGCTGAAGGGGAATCAATAAGAAGGAAACCGTGAAGGGAAAGAAAGAGAGAAGGAATAAAAGAAGAACAGAGAGGAAGAAGAGAAGGAAGGGGGAGAAGGATGGACAGAAAGAAATGGAATGGAGGGTAGGGAAGGAAAGGTGGAACATATGGAATGAAGGAACAAAAGAAAGCTGTAAATAATGAAAGAAATCTAAGGGAGGATGGGAAGGTGTCCCCAATTTACGGCATTGTTAAGATTTCACAGATTCTGACTCCTGTTCTCACTTTGCTTAACTGCTTTAGCTACAGCTGAGGACACTCAGGTCATGTCCTGCCCTGTAGTTTCTCTGGAAACTTTGTTTTAGATAAGTTCTATTAGCATCTAGTCTATTGGCCAAAAAATAAAGAAATAAGGTCAAAAAAAAAAAAAAAAAAACATAAATAAATGGAAGGATTCCCTCATGTTGGGAGATAAATGCTAACGCTTTGTTATATGGGTCTGTAATTCTTCCTCTTCTTTTTATTTCCATTGTTGTGTTTTTAAACAGTATATTACATGTAATATGTGCTCAGTTTCTGCTAGGACTTATAAAAGCAACCAAGAAGTGGGAGGTTCATGTGGGGCAAACAAGGCACACTTTTATGTAAAAGTCATGACAGTACTCTTACAGGTCAGACCTGTAACACTTCAAAATGACACGAGTCTGAACTGAATGCATTCAAATTAACATAAAGGCTGCAGCAGCACAAGGTTAAACATGCAGAGACATGTTCTGCCTTCTAACATTACTGTAATACATGTATTATCTCAATATCCATCTCTTACGTTCAAAGAAAATGGATGCTTTCTAGGATGCCTATGTCCATACTGCATTACAGACATCCTTTTATTGTATTATAATTTGTTATAACAATGCATACATATTCATAATGCAACAATTATAACACCTTTATAAAGCATTTTATGACGACTTAAAAGTCAAGTATCAATACTTCATAATTGCTGGTCACTCACTGACATGTTTTTTACAAGGGTCATAATGTATTATAACTTTCACAATTGTAAAACATTATATTCATTTCATAATTTTGCATTATAATGTGATTAAGAGATACTCTAAGTGGATATTGGGTGCTGTACACGGATACTGTGCTGATTTTCAACCAGCTTTGTATCATAACTGTGTGGGTAGTATGTGTAAATGAACTGTGGTAAACTCCCCTCCAGGTTATCATCTCTCAACTCAAATCGCAAACGCATCATCCAGTGGACAGATTGTATTACGGATTTTCATATGCCTGCCACTACGGACACAAACAGTATGAATTATAGTGGATTAAAAGAGAGCTGGCGCAAAAAACCAAACTGAGATCAGCTCAGCAGTGCTAATCAAATACAAATCAAGATTTTGTTACTGCGTTGCCTAGTTTTTGCCTTCAGTATTTTCAGAAACATATTTTAGCTTACTGTTTAACTGTAATCATTTACTGGCTGCCATATGTTTTCCTGTTTCAAAGCGGCCAAGCTTACATTATGTCACCCACCAGCAGGAGTGTTTATTGGTCTGGTTCGGTGCACTGCATAATGGTAGTTGTAGGTTTTCTACCTCTTGAGCAAAAGCAAATGCTTCAGCAAAGCAACGAGACTCAGAATGACTACACATAGACACAAAACTACTACAATGAGATGTGAGTGCCTAATTTTTTTTTTATTTTTTTTTTGAGGAGAGGAGATTCCTCTCACTTCAGCTCAGTCTATAAAATCGATTTGCCCCTCAACTATCCTTCTTGTCTCCACAAGCACTTTAAGATGAACAGGTTTTGCTCATGTAAACCTTAAGGTGGCGTATTGAGACAGATTTTTTTAAGTAATTACTTTCACCAGTGTTTATATGATTAACTGTTTCATTAGATCTGAGAGTTTACAGAGAATTTTACCACTGAAATAAAGTTTTTAAAGTCAAGCAATTTCTTCCCTGATTTATAACTATTTTATTGTATCTTCTTTTTTTTTGAGTTACTAGTCTGTAATTTCTTGATAATTTTTTAGGGAGTTTCCTGGATTTTTTTTAAAATGTGGCACAAATTATAGATACAAAGTTACAAATGACTTTGTTTAATTTTGGTTTAATAAGTTGTGTAGAGATTAGAAGCACTTGCTGAATTCCAGAGGAAACTTGCAGAATGTATTACCGAGCACTTACATAAATAGCCAAAATTTGAAAAATCCAAATAATTATAAAGAAGTAGAGAATTTTAGAGCAGAGGGAGTTGTTGAGAGGACTTTGACTGTTAACCTCAGGATATCTAATCTCTGACCTACAGGGCTGTGTGGATCCAATGGTTCCTCATTCAGTCAATGTGTTTTGTCCTATTATTTGAGTAGGAAAAGAAACATATCTATGCTGACAGCAAAAACCCAGTTTATCTTTGATAAATGACTTTTGTTCTCCATTGGTTTCTTTATCCCAGTCGGGAAGAAATCCAGAGAGTATTTAGTTTTTCATACCTTATGTTTGTCTGATCAGAGTTTTCCTGCAGGAGAAACCGAAGCTGTGAGGGTTTAAAAGGAACGTCAGTAAAATCAAAAAGAAAAAAAGAACATCTGCTGAGCTTCAAAGCCAACTTTGTCACGTAATGATGTGATTTCAGAACGTTCTCAGCCTCTGTTCAGACTTTCCAGGAAACACACAGACGCTGAACGGTGGCTTTGACCGAACAAACTGCCTCTCTGATCAGGATGAAAGGCTTTTTAGCAGCGTCGGCATCAAAGGCGAGAGGAGAAGCTGCCACCGTCAGAGCCTTTCACGAGATTAAACCAAATATAAAAACATAAAAACAAAGAATACAACAGGTTGATGTGGCATTGGTGGAGATGATGAGTTATCCCGCAGACCAAAGCGCTGTGGGTCGGAGGTTAAACTCACTCATGTTTACTGCTGTGAAGAGACACATCTGACAAAACTAATTACAAATATGAATGAAAACATCCGCCAAAACAGGAATAAATGAATAAATAGATAAAAGCATGAGAAAATAAACACAACTTGAAGTCCTTCTTCACCTACTACAAAAAAGCTTTGACGCTGAAAGTGTGCAGTGAAAAGCATTATGGGTTATGGGTTTGATTCCACTTGTGGTTCAACAGCTGGAGCCAGGCGGTGATGGTTATGTTGACCCCCTGAAAAACTGTTTGATTTTCTCAGTGTTGTGAAATTATCTCATTCATGTTGAGATGAGCACATAAAACAGTTTGCAATGATACTTAAGGATTATTTTTACCCACTGATACTTATTCAAGTGTGATGATGCAGAGCAACATGTTTGGCCAGTGTATTTGTTGCCTAAAGCTGCTGTCACTTGGGGGCATACTCCAGTATATTGGCTAGTTGCTGGCTACGTCTTTTCTTTGATGCTGAACAGGTAGAACACACTGTGATTCTAAAAGTGACCTATTATGCTTTTCCTTATTTTTTGTTTTATGGTCAAAGTTTCTTCTACTGTGAAGAAAATAAATTGTTTTCCACCATTAAAGCGTGTAAACGTGTTCTGGTAGAAACTGTAAATACAAGTATGAACCTGAAAATGAACATAATAGGTCCCCTTTAAGGCTTTTCATGTTTTGCCTTTCACATTACACATTGTCCTTTCATCTGTTGTTATTATGAGAACATTACTATAGCAGCTGTTATTTTCATATGAAGCCTACAGCAGGATGTGATGTCTGCTCTCATGCAACTTACATCAGCTAACAAAGAAACAGACTTGTCATGTGGACCCTGAGCCCCCCGCAGGCTTGGGCCCCGCAGCAGATGCCTGCTTTACCCAGTTGTGATGAACACTTTTGATCTGGTATTATGAGATGTTGCTTAACCTCCAGAGTTGCTCATTTATTTATTTTGTTTTTATTTATTGTATCTTTTATTGAATATGTCACATCCCCCACTGGACACCTTGTTTTATCCTATCTCTTTTATGAGCCCCACCTGTATTTGCTTGCAGCTCTGTTGTCAGTTTATGTGATGGAGCAGCCTAGTCACCAGAAAAATATATTGGCATTGTACATTTCTGTAAACCATGGATATGTTATATTTGTGCATTTAACATGTATCATACCAATGTTTCTAAAGTTACATAGAATATGAGCTGAATTGGAAAATCACTGGAAGGTGGAGAGAATGGTGGATGTGTTACCTAGACGAGACACCTGCCAGGCTGCAGACCACTTTTCGAGACCAGCAAACAACAATACTGGTTATTTTTTAGCAGGTCATGGCAACATTTCCAGTTGCTTTTCAGCCCCCAGATGTGGGTATTCTTTAGAAACTTGTCACTGTGTTTCCACCAGGAATAGTGCCATGAAAAACTGTTGTTTGAACCGAGACATTGCTGCGTTTCCTGCAGGAATTCTGCCACTAAAAGCGAGTGTTTTGAGCCAAAACATAATCTCTTTGCAACCATAAACAAGCATAAATCACGGCATTTTAGCATCAGTGTATCCGCTATGTAAAAATGCACAGATATAATGTATCCTTGGTTTGCAGAAACGTACAATGCCAACATGTATTCTGGCGATTGAGTTTGCATTATTAACTGTCCTATTGGTGATTTTATGTTTTTTCACCTTCATCTAACTCCTCATCTTCTCTCCTCCTACAGCCTCAGATGCCTCCTCAACTTCCTCCTCCTCCTCATCACCTAGTCTCGGAGGTTTTGTGGACTTCACTTTCACTCTGGAGCCTCAGGACACGGTTACAGTCCGAGGTGGCGTATTGCAGCTCGACTGCCAGGCACAGTCTGACGCAGTGGTGGGACCTCCCACCATCATATGGCGTAAGGACGATGTGCTGCTGAGCACGGTGGTGGACGAGCGGCGGCAGCAGCTGGCTAATGGCTCGCTGCTGGTGCAGAATGTTGTGCACTCGCGGCACCATCGACCTGATGAGGGTGAATACCAGTGCCTCGCTACACTGGACGGACTGGGGAGTATCGTTAGCCGGACTGCCAGGGTCACTGTGGCGGGTAAGTGATGGCTCTATTCTAATACACAAATTCTGTTTTGCTAACAGCACATACAGGCTACTACTCATCATCCCCTTTTACACTGCCTGTTCAAGGTGGGCATGATTGCGAAATGGGGGGACAAAGTTGTCTCCCCTTTAACCCACCACTGAAGGTAGTGACAGTGCGGAATTGGTGTCTGTATAATCAGGACAGGGGGCACGACAGGACCATGGGCAGGATGGGTATGACGTTTTGACTATGTGTTATGTGTGTGACCTACTGTGGAAGATTTTAATATGTGCAAATTGGGAAAACAATGAGATTCAGGAGCTTTTTACCCTTCGAGCAGAGGGTGGGATCAGCCGCCATATAACAAAGAGTGTAAATTATTGTTATTGGCATATTAATGCCATTGTTATTGTTTCTAAAGTGCTGCCGATGTGTATGTTTTATGCTTTTATAGTTATGCCTGTCACACCTCTTTTGATTTTGCGATTCCATGATGCTGTCATCATTTGGTTCTGTGTAAAAATGCAAAGGTGGCATAAATATGGGACTTTGTGGCAGCTCTATAGTGGGATCTCTGTATAGAATAGCTAATGATTCATAGTTTTATCAGATTTCAGCACAACTTTACTGCGAATACTTGATTTTATTGAACAGTCTGCACAATGTAGCTGGTATGGGTGTAACGGTACACAAAAGCCAGGTTTGGTTTCTTTGCCCACTGACAATGTTGGTAAACAATTTTCATCATAAAAATAAGGAACATTTTAAACACTAATGTATTACATTGAACAACTGAACAAATACTTTACCAAAAGGCAACAAGTCACAAAAGACTAAAAATCTGAAAAGCATCTCTTATGGTCTGAAATTGAAAATACCAAAATACATAGATTAATTACACAAAGTTCCACTTTGGCATATTTAAACATTCAAAACACCAAGTCATTTACCATCCTGGTGATTGGCACATTTAGGTGATGACTGTATTGAATGTGCATTAGCATGTTGGATCTGTTTCCATCCACAGACTCTACAACAGCGAGCAATGCCGACACACTGTCCTAGTCTTCTGTCGTCATCTGTCAAGCTAAAATTTTCCAGGCAAAACTCACACTTTTGAACTTCAGTTCCATATTACATACATTCCTGTGTATTATGAGTGTGGCTGTGTGCACTGTACAATGAGGGATAAGTACGAATACACAAACTGTTGAAGCCACAATAGCCAGTGTCTAAGGCTTAGCCTTTGATTGATTCAGAATCTCCTTTTTTTCCAAACTTGCTTTTAAAATAGTGATAAACTCCACCTGCTCACATAACTTTGGTGTCCGGCAGGGCTCAAAGTTAGGTCCTCTTCTTTTCTGGATTTAAACAACCCTGGGTTTCTTCCACTTGGCACTGTGATGATAAAATATGATTTGTTAGACAAAATGAACTTAAATCAAGGGCCAAATGCTGGATATTAACCAATAAGAGTAGAAGAAAGGAAGACATAAAATGAGAGAAGGGAAGGGAACGAGAGGAGATTCTCTCATTCTGATGTTTTCATGACACCTTGACCTGTCCTTGGCTTTTACTCTGGCAGATCACACACACACACACACACACACACACACACACACACTTGATATTGCTCAGCTTCCTCCATTTATTTTACTGTTCATATTTATTTAATAGAACCAAAGTAATTCATCTGTAATGTAATTTACTAAGTGGAGTGTGGCTTAAGATCAATACCATTATGGAAGACATTAATAGACAGAGAGGCACAGAGGCTTAAGTGCATCACCATCACCAACAGTGAGCACTACCTATGGTGTGGGATAGTATACTGTATAGAGAGTATAGCAAGTTTGAGGGATTTCAAATTCATATTTAATTGGTAGGTGGAAAAATAGATATGGCGTTGAAGAAAAATCTGAGCCTTATCAAACATCAGATCATTTACACCATCAATTATCTACAGATTGCGACAAATTTAGGTTTTGCTCACATCATCTGATGCCCGATAATTTGGTTTAGGTGACTTGCTCTACTGTCACCTATCAACAGACGTATCAAGAACATTGCTAATACAAAATGATATTAATTTTGTTTTGGATATGTTTATTAAATGTTAAGCATTTTTTCCTCTCTCTTTAAAATTAATAAAATTCCAGACCAGGCCTCTGACTAATGCCAGCTTTATTCAGACAGAAAAGCTGCAGGAATGGACTTTTAAATGTGAGGTCAGACAGTTTGTCTTTTAGACTCACTCACTTTCGTTAAGTTGGCTGATGGAAAGACAAATTATAGGCCTAACCAACATGCTGATTACTTCTGAGACTCTGATAATGAGGTTCTGGATACCACACACACACACACACACACACACACACACACACAAACACACACACACACACACACACACACACACACATTCACCTCCTTGTGAGCTGCAGCTGCTGGTCTCCTGCCTTTTTAATCGCTCTAACCGACTGGGAGGATGAGAGTCACTCCAGAGACCAAAACACTCAAACACAAAGAGCTGAGTGAGCTAAGGAGACGACCAGCTGATATACACACTGTGTCAGAGTGTGTGTGTGTGTGTGTGTGAGGTGAGGTGTGTGGTTTTGGGGTTTACCACTGTCACTATAATCTAACCGTTTCCTGCTGCTTAACCTCTCAGATCCTGGGGCTTCCCATAACCTGAACTTTAAACCAGACCTGTAGCCGGGAGCACTTAAAGTGAGACAGAGGCCGAGCCTGTAAGGCTTAGAGGTCAGAGTCGTAGCAGATTAAAGATCATGTCAAGACTGAGTCCTCATGAGGGACAAAGTCAAAGCAAAGACTGAGACAGAAACAAAACAAAAAAGTTCCCGTACACTATTCTTCATACTGTTGTCTGACAGTTTATCATAGTGAGAGTATTATAGTTTGCATTATTTCTTTATATTGGGATCATGTTTTAGAAAAAAAAAATATCAAGTGAGAAAATATTCTTGCACAATCCCAAAAGCTAACTGTGGAAGTTTAATGTATTTCCACAAATATGTGCATGGAGGTGCTCTTAAATGAGGATGCTTGGTTGTGACATACAAGACAAACCATAAAGAATAAGCATCACCTGCGCTAAATAACAGTGCAGAACAGTGACATAATATTACAGAAACTTCCTATCCTACCTATCTCTATGGGGAATAGAAAGCTGACTGACGTCAGAGCAGACAGATATGCTGGGTGGGAAAGGCATAAAAAACAAACAGCAAAACAAAATAAAACTACAATAGTGCACTCAGTAAAGTGCAGATCTTTGCCAGGTGAATGCTTGGGCTGATCACAGCCACAGTCAGTTGTTGTATTTTTTAGTAGCTATGCTGCAGCACGTTTCAGATGCTTAAAAGTATTTGCCTTGTCTATATCTGAGGGAGCTGCAGCATGTTGCATAGAGCAGATTGATTTTTACAGGCACTGTATGTGAAATAAAGATAGAATATAAGTATTAGGGATGGGTCACGATTTTCGAATTTCGGTTTATTTTTACCTTTTACTATTCGCTGTCTTATTTCCCCCCTTTATTTGACATGCAATTCAGCTCCTGGGGGGGATTATTCGAAAAATTGTCGAATAGTTGCCACGATATTCCAGTAGTGTTTTTGCTTGTGCTGCCCATCCCTAATAAGTATGAGGATGAATGTAATTTTCAACCTCTCTAACTCCGCCAGAACGCCGACGTCCTCGCTCCCCTCCTCCTCTGTTAAATGGTATCTCCCAGGTGCACTACGTCATCAAACCATGTGAAATTTGGTATTGCTGGATTCAGGAGGCTCTTGATAAAATAACATCATTTTTCTTTTATTTCTTATGTATTTCGCACAAGAGCAGCCTAAACACACATAGTCCCAAATCGCGATGAGTGGTGACAAGTCATGTCATGCCATTTTTTTGATGGGGAAAAGTTACAGGATTACACGCGATTCACTCCTACCACTATTTTTGGCTGAGATACACCGTCTAGAAAGTGGGATCATAACTTTCACCTTTCATGTGGCCTTATTCTGGTGATGTTTTATGGTGTTTCTGTGTCAAAAACAACATCAGCTATCACAATCACGCCTGATTTCAATACGGTACAATGTTAGAAGCTGGCTGAGTGTTGTTGGATCACTGACAGTACTGTTTTGAAACAAAGAGACAGACTTATCTTTTGGAGCTGTTTTCATGGAAAAAACACTGTAGAATGGTCATACTTTGCGCTTTCTTCTTCAAATTTGAAACACGTGTTCATTGATAGTGTTTCTACAGCCCCATACTGTCATTTACCTCCACAGATGAAGCCACAGACAGTTATTCATCCTGAAAAACATTTTTTATTGTAGGCGGACCAAAATCTTCAATTTTTGACTGAATTCAGTGGCCCATTACTCTGTCTCTGTATCACCTAGGGTGTTTCTGACACTTTCACAAGAAACTTCAGGGAGTTTTCTTTCTGGCAAGACCTCATGCATGCATGTAGTCAGAGCAGTTCGAAAGCTACAATCATTTTAATTTGGGTATGTCATTTTAGGCGTTTTTGCTACAAAATGGGGGTGGAGTGCAAGAGGTTTTAATAGCTAAAACAGCCACAAATCTTTGATCAGTGTCATTCATAACTGGCCACTGAACGGTATTAACTTTATCTGTAGGCTAGAGCACAACAAAGGAGGAAATAATAACAACAATCACAACTAAAAAAGATGCAAAAACAAACCATTTAACTACGTAATCTGCTTATTTTCTTATGGTCGAAGCGCAAATATCAAGGAAAAATGACCAAATCAATAAAATCAAAGTCATCGTGCAGCGGACAGAACATCGTGTGGCCTCCTGGAATTGTCCCTTCAGGCTCCCTTACAGTCAACATAGCTATGAAGATAACAATAACTGGGATCAGCTACCTCTCTATTGGTTAGTTGGTCAGTGTTAATTTTGCACTCCTATCCAATCCCGAGCTGAATTAAATGTGTTAAACAATAAACACACGTCTGTGC